TCGGTAGTATGTTTTCATACGAGATTTGACGCTTTTGAATATATTAAGCGTCCGAAAATTATCGCAACAAGTCTATCATATTTTTCCAAATCCTGATTTATATAGCATGTAGGAAATAGATCAGCCAAACCGTTGGAAATTCCATATTTCTGAGAAGACAACGTACAACGAACTTGCGCGCCATTTTGAAAATCACTGATGTATGACGTGACGTCACACTGGCAGTGATGAGTCTCCCATCGTTTTGTCTGGAGACGCCCCCTCCCTCCTGGTAGCAACATATTTGAGTTAGTGATGAATGCAAATATAAATGTGAGTCTTCGATCTGTGGAAATCTCGGCCAAGCACTCTAGATCTTCTGTTGGCGTTCAAAAATATTGCTAGTATTTGAGGCCGAAAAAAAAACGTGCGACGTTAAAATGAAATACATGTACTGAAAACAGGGCCCGGTTGTTCAAACTAGGATGGATAACCGGAAAAAATCGCTCTCCTGTGGAATAGTTTTAACAAAACAAATTACGCTATCCGTTGGATAATGGTTTATCCGGTGGATACGGCGTTATCCATCCTTTGAACAACCGGGCCCTTGGGTATAGCGCATGGGGATATCCTCACGTGATGTGTTTAGACCAATAGCGCGCGAGAAAAAAATGTGATGGATTATATATACAGTAAAATAAAGCAACTAGAAATTATCCTGGCAGAATGTTTATGGGAAAGACTCCCAAAATGATTTAAAGCTCTAATTTGAATATAAAGTATCGATAACTTGGCACGCTATTAACCTGAGTCAATCTCATGAGATAAATTGCAAATTAACGTTTCGAACAGATATGCAAATACTGCATAAGACATCAAAGTATTATTCTGTGCCGCGGAGAAATCGATCAAAACTCGACTTGGTCCAGCCCTGGTTTCACAGTCAGCTGTCTGGGATTTCCAAAAAGGTTTGCTAAAATTTTGAAATATAATGCTATATTTTATGAACTGAACTCTAAGGCTGGGCTTCCAACAAGTTGGTTTCAATCTGCTTAACTGATTTAGGTTTTTGATCGTCCAGAAGCGCGTTCACTACCTTTACTGAATTGTTTTATGAAAAGTTGCTTTTATTCAGTTTTAACACTGAAATAGACTTTCGTTGTTTTTGTTTTAGTTCGTAAAACTATTTTCAATTCAGACAAACCATTTTGTAAGAATATTACTGAGCAACTTTTATTTCTAGTATACTGTTAAAAATGGCCATCTGTTCAGTTAAATGAGAAATGAATGCTACAATTGTTTAAGAAAAACAACTTTAAAAATCCCACACGAACTCATACTGAAACCCAAAGAAAAGGATCACAAAATAGCCGCGTGGAAAAGCCGTAAGTATTGTTTTAAGGAAAAGTGCTAAGAATTGCTTCATAACAAGCAATATTTGAAACTTTAAAATCAGTTTTGCCACTGACTTGGAAAGTTTTGATCAGAGCAAATATGTTTCGGTTAGTGCTTAAGCCGTTATCGTTTTCAGTGAATTAAACGCCGGCTAGAGATTTATAAACTTCTGGAATTGCAAAGTGATAGTTTTACAGCCAGTTTGCGTCTTATAGCAAGCCTTCGGTAGAGAGCCAGGATTTGACGAGAGAATTAGTCTTTGGTGATTTGACTCATAACAACTGAAACTTGCTTTTGTGAAGTTGAAAGCTCATTCGCATAACATATCCGAATGTCTGATTTAACATATTATTATTTATAGTAATACCAAGGAAACTATTCGTGGACAAAACACAAACACATCCTCAGTCGCATTCAAATAACCACTGTTTCGGTTTGCTGACGAAACGGAAGAACAGTTGGCCAACCACACTGCAGCTCAATTATATTGATTTACGTCGAATGAAAAAAACAAATTAAAAAGCTCAATCCATAAACTGAAAAAATATATATAATGGTTGGGATATTTTCAGCTTTGACCCAAAGAAAAGAGAACCGAAAATATATATCTTTAAAATATATTTATATAGGAATCGTCAAAAGGTTTCATTTAGTCCAGATAAGAAATTAACAAAAACAGCCGCAAGGGGCTTATCCATGATACTGCGCACACTTTATAAATATTCTCAGCTATGCATAATGGTTTATTTTATCAGAAAATGGTGATCAAAAGCGTGTTGGGAGTACAACAAGATGGGAAAATGAAAAACATTTTTTTTGGGGGGCGCAAAGAATAATTGATGATATTTTATCAACTCCATTTTTTAGCAGATAAATTGGGTTTCACTGTTTGGCGATATTAAACGTAGATATCAAATGAGGCCATAGTTGTTCTCGCACGTATTAAAAGATCTGTAGATAAACAGAGCGGAGAATTCTTAATAATTGCCAATAATACCGTTGTTAGCTCTTTCTAGTTCTTATTCAAATGAGGCGTTCTTAATTTACAGATCTAACAAGACGTCCTGGATCGTATGGCGCCATCCTTAATGATAATACTCCTCGTGAGCAGTTTAGGTGAGCATGACATAGCGGTTTTCAATTGAGCGTCGAAAGTAATCCAGAATTGCTTTGGTTCTGCTTTACTACGCTCTGCGATTGGTTTAAAAAACGCGCGCCACCTACTCAACCAATCAGATGCAAACCCAAAACTAATCGCGACTTGGTTGGTTGGTTTTCCCGCGCTTGGCGTCGGTTACGTGTATTTGCTTCGAGTTCTCATTGGTTTATTTTGTTTGTCACGTTTGTTGTGATTGACCATCTGAATAGGCCATTTCCGAGTTGCCTTTTACCTCTGTTTCAAAACGAGTCCTGGTGCACAACCTTTCATATGAAAATGAGTTTGATTTGCGAGACAATGAACGTGCAAGTAAAACTAATTTCCATATGAAAGGTTATGCACCAGGACTCGTTTTGAAACAGAGGCAACAGGCAACTCGGAAATGTCCTATTGTTTTGGTGTTGGTTTTATAAGACTCAGTTGAAAACTGCTCTATATAACTGCAGTAACAATCAAGGGTGATCTACATCTAATTTCTCCTAATTATAACAATACATTGTCAATCAGACAGACGAGAATAAAGAAAGTCATCAGAGGTCATCGTTTTGTTCTACCATCAAATTCTCAGAACTGTCATTGCAAGAAACGTATCATAATTAGTAAGGAGAATTTCTTCAATCTGCTACAAGAGAGGATGATCTAAGAGAAGCATTTCTCCATACATGCGCCGGTCTCTTCCAATAATATTGTTTAGTCTATTTTTAACTTCCGTCCTCAGTATGGAATTATTTGGCTTGAGCCTCTACTGCAAGTTTCTCTTACATGCATAGAACAGTTTTATAAAAACAGGAGTTTTCTTGCAAATACATATTACTAGAATTCGATGAAGTAATATCACCTTAGGCCAAATTGAAATACAAAGTTAAGTTCCATTGCATTATTTTCTTAAACAGGAAACCTCGATGCCTTGCTGTGGCGTGTGGATTATTCACTCGGTAAGACACGACAAATTGAAATAAGTTCCATGCAGTCCAACTGTCCTGCAATGCAAAACAATTTGTGTTTTGAGACAGATGGAGGCTTGCCACTATATGTGTCTCGGGTTCGTGTTATTTTGGTGGGGAAGACACCTTAGTCTCAACTCCCCACCCGGGATGTAAATTGGTACAAAGTACTGCTAAGGCAACCATGACAGTGAATGTACCATCAGCAATTTGCCTGTTAGAAATTGGGCTAGTGTGTCTAATGTGGTTTTTTATTTTAATCGTAGAATGTCCATCCAATTGCCAATGCTCGAAAACCCCCACCGACTCCTCCCTTTTGAAAACTGACTGCTCTGACAAAGATTACTGGTTTGTTTCCTGTTGGTGTGTCACAAGACAGTACGCATGTGTAAGTTACACCCAAATGATATTGAAACACAAGACTTCCGGTTGCTTCAACTGGAAAAAATGCAGCCAGGTCAAAAACCATATTTTATCTTAATTGGGTGCATTTATTGTCTTTCCTGGGTAAAATAATCTCATCAGGGATAACATACATGCGAAACACACCAATTATCTACATGTATCTACCGATGACATCTTGAGTTTCTACATCTTTGCCCTTTTTAACTCGTGAATGCGAAAGCAATGAAAGAGTTATAGCATTTGGTGGACAAATTTCACTCGCTCGATGGGTTGTAAATTCTGATCGCTCGCGCTATTAATTTATGCTTTATTCATCCACGAGTCAGTTCGTAGGCGGCCTTTGACTATTATACCCAGCAATTACCCTCGTATGACATCATAGGTCATTCCGGAGTTCACTAATACATTCAAATCATAGCGAGGTTTGTTTCTAGGGCTAGTAAATACACAGAAGGCATTTAGGCCACACACATCGATAGATCTACAGCGCCTCCGCTTGGAACTCATATGACGATAGCCAAACACGATCCAGACTGAAGCATCGACCAGTGCAAGTGATGAACGATTCATTGTTGTAGTGCATAACCAAGTGCATGAGATGTGTGGCTGAAATCAGATATCTATATTGTAGCTCTGGTAGCAGTTTTTTAGGGGAATCAATCTTCCAGTACTGATAATCCATTCGGCATTAATTGCAGGAATTTTGCGGACAACAAAATTGCGAGCATAACCAGGACGTACATGGCAACGATAAGGAAAGTTAAAATCTTGTAAGCGTGTTTAAAGTTTGTTTATTTTCGAAGAGTTGTTCCTGCATATAAACTTAGGGAGCTCAAAGGAAGAATGAATACTGCTAATGTACAGTTTATAGGGTACAATGCACGAACTGAATTTATTTTAGGAGATCGATAATTGCCTTTCTCTGTTGATCAGTTTTGAGTTCAAAACAATTAATATAAGTTTTTGACTCGAAAGTAATAAGAAGAACCAATGTTGTTGCGCGTACCTCAACAACAACAACAACAACAACAAATATCTTTATTTGACCATAAATTTAAACAGTGTAAAGCATACGACTTTATTTTTAAAAAATAATAAGTATAAAGCCTCACCATGAGTCCTCCATAGCTCAGTCAGGTTAGAGCGTCCAACCGGCACCTGGAAGGACGTGGGTTCGATTCCCGTTGGGGAGCTCAGAATGTTTTTCTGGGTATTTCGACTTGAGAGCATTTAATTCTTCATTTATTCACTTTATCCAAGTCACCCATTCCACTTAGGTTAGATCAGTCTGAATTGAATATAATTTGTCATCAAAACATGATGAGATAAACTTCATCACTTGCATATTAACAAAATAATTAGGAGAGTTCGTTAACACATATAAATAAACCAATATTGTTATAAACCAATAACAATACTAAATCTACCCCTACCCGTTCTTGTACCTCGAATGCTTGACTTGTTATATCTGTGTGTGTTAGGGATTTGGCGAGGAACAACATTGACGACCTTCCAAACGGCCTTCTACGCGATTTGATGGATTTGGAAGTCTTGTAAGTAGAAAACTCTGCAATTAATTCCAGGATTTTGATTAAGATTTAATACAATATCAGATGTTTAGGCTGTTTATGTTTTTAACGGGATTATTTTCTTTACTGAGCTGAAGATATTTATTTTTTTGTTCCCCACTCAAGGGATTTATCAGGAAACCAGATTGGTTCCATTAAAGGAGGAGTTTTCAACGGACTGCATAAACTCTCAACGCTGTAATTATTTCCTTTGTTGTAACTTGAGGACTATTATTAATGAGTTTGAGAAGAATAAAGCCTGGTTTCGCAAGAGTGGTTTCCATATGATCACAACGATGGCAACGATCGCAGGGGTGGTTTCCATATGATCGATCGTTGCGATCGTTGTGATCATATGGAAACCAGGCTTAAGTGGAATATGGCTGGGTGATGTCATACAAATGTCCGTGAAAAGGTTTCACTTCTAAACACATCGTTGTTCCTTTCATGAATGATATGGTTTTCATTTCTTTCAGTTATCTCGATGAGAACAGGATTTCAAGGCTAGAAAGCGGTAGTTTCCAAGACTTGCCACGCCTCAAACATTTGTAAGGATGATCAGACATAGATAAAGTGTCCTTAAAAGGAGGGAAAGGGACGGAGACAAGATTGCACCGAGAATGTACCAACTAAGTGTCAGAGGTTGTAGCCTAGGGTGTAATCTATAGTTTGTAAGAAGTGTTAACAGGGGAAGGGAAAAAAGAATTTCGTGAACCTCGTTTAAAGCAATGCTTTTAGCTGTGCTTGTATTGTATTTGATCCTGTAAAGTTATTCTTAATTGGCGCCAGTTTTGTTGACACCGACACAGAAGAAAATAGGTCCGCAATGGGTACTTGTGTTGGCTTGAGCCACAGAATTCTAAGAGAGTTTTACTGGAGTTATGATAAGTTCTCTAATGACGTTTTTCGTAGTATTCCAAACATCTTCTTCTTTTCCAGGTGGTTGTTTATCAACAGGATCTGGGATCTTCCTCATAATATATTTCACGGCCTCTATCAACTTAAAGCACTGTTTGTATTATTCTTTCTTTTTGCTTTTACACCTCTTGCTCGTATAGAAATGAATTCATATGCATGCTAGGCTTCATCATTATTTTTTAATTGATTTTAAACAAACGGATAGGTTACAGCAATAATGCCGATTGTTTTAAATGTATTTAGCGGACTCAGTATGAACAAGCTGACCAAACTGAACGCTCACTTGTTAAAAGACGCAAATGGACTGGAGTTCATGTAAGTAGCGTATTGAAGAAATACTGTGATGCAATGCGCTTTATAAGTATAAAAAGATAAAAACCAAAGCAATCATATTTGTCTTGTGAATATAAGCTTACGTTAGTACACCTAACATTTGCTTTTCTGGACACGTAGGTTTTTGCAACACAACGAAATCAAGGCGATCCCTGACAACTTCTTCAAAACCTCTACGAGCCTCAGATATGTGTTAGTTATGTATTTTGTCACTCTTCAATGCTATGCAGAAATACTTGAGACACTCTCATGATTTCTCGCCTTTTAAAACATTATTGATTTTCTATGTTTGACATCCCCTTCCCCCCTATCAATGTTGTTTTCACGTCAAATTTACGTTCCAATTTTTCGGTTACAACATTGTAATGGGGGGAGGGGGGTCAAAAGAAATCATTTTACACCTCAAGGGGGAAAAAAATTAGTAAGGCAAAGAAGATCGTGTCTCAACCATTTTGCATAGCATTGTTGTTACCTCTTAAAGGAGCTATGTCATAATATTTTAAGTCATTTTTGCGAAGTGCAAAATCACCTTCAAATTGAAGAAAGCCTCAAAATAATAGTTTGGTAAGGTAGAAAAACACTAAAGAGGTAATAATAAACCAAACAGGAACAAGGATGGTTGAGGATGGAGAAGATTAAGATGGATTGCGAACGGCGAACTTGAAAAAATTGCACAGGGGAAAAATCCGGGAAGGAGAAACGTTCTTATTTCCATACGCCTTTAAAAAGTCTTAAAAATACCTCATCCTGCCTATCCAGCTGCCAAATAAAATTATAACCGTTATAGTTTACTGCGAAAGGATTTTCCGCTTTATTATTTAATATTGTTTATATTGAGACAGGTTCTGGTGATTGATAAACTTTTCTATACGATTTTCTCCACATTTGCGATCTTAGATTCCTAAACAACAACAACCTTACTAAGATCGGTTCGGATACCTTCAAAGGGGCATCAAAACTTGAGATGTTGTAAGTATGAACTAGATCAACTTTTTTTAAAAATTCTTTAAAATAAAATAAAAAGTCACACATCTGAGAGATCCTCTCCTCTTCCTCCGAAGGACTCTTTCTAACAACTATGAGCTAGCAGCTTTGGAGCCTGGCTCGTTCAACTACAGTGACTTTGGCAACTTATCTCTTGTGTAAGTATATATATGGCAATATGATGGCATTTTTGAGCCTTTGTGTCTTTGTCAGCTGCAGCCAGCCAGCCAACCAACCAACCAACCAACCAAATAACCACTGCAGTCGTCAGACAGTCGGACAGACAGACAGACAGTCAGTCAGTCAGTCAGTCGGACAGTCGGACAGACGGACAGACGGTCAGTCAAACAGTCAGTCAGACAGTCAGGCAGGCAGACGGGTAGACGGGTAGTCAGTCATCATTCATTTAGTCAGTCAGTAAGTTAATGAGCACAATAAAACGATCAAACGGTTATTCCGTTATTCGGTCAGTCAGTGCGTCACTTGTCAATCAGTCAGCCAGTCAGCCCTGCCTTGGGTCGTCCAGACAGTCTGTTGGCTGGTCTGCGGTTTGCCAGACAGTCCGCTTGTAAGCGATTTTTAAATTTAGGTCGTTTTTTGCCAGTTCACAACAGTCAGATTGTCATTCAGTGTTACTCTGTCTGCTACTAAGTAATGTTGCCATCCTTGCATCCTGTCAGTAGCTGGATTTGTTCTCGGTAGTCCAGGTTCAACTCTTCGGCCACGCTTTGAAAATGGCCAACTGGTTAGCCTCCTGTCAGATGGGATTATTAACACGTTTATGTTCAATTTGCAATATTTTTTCTTCATTTACAGTGTCCACAATTAGTACTACAGTTCTAAATACACCGACACTTAAACTTTCTTTTCGTCTCCTTCTGCGATTCAGATACATTTTGCAGACTGGTCTTGTACGAATTAAAATGGAAAGTTTCAAACAACACAGAAAAGCCGGACTTGTAATGTAAGTCGAGGTCAGATTTCGAATAATTCATTTATATATGTGATGAACAAACCAACTCCCTGAAAATTACAATCATGGCTAAATACATGAAAGTCGCGTTTTACTGTTTGAATCAAAAAAGCGTGAACACTTTGATTTAACTGTGACATGATCAAACCGCAAGAAGAATAGTCAGGAAACTCAAATTTACACTTGTTTTTGAAGAAAAGCTTTGCGAAAATAGCAATAAAATAAATTTAGGAACAAAATAGACCAATTTTTGGTAAAGGAAAATCCAAGCGTTAAACTTGAACGGTGTTTGTCTGATTATTGCACAGCAATAGAAAAGACTACTTTAGTTTCAAATATATTTATACAATACCCACGTATCTTCATACAATTCAAGATTTAAGCATTTATATGGGGAAGTCAAATTTGTCTTAAAGTCAAGACGAGAAAGAAACCCAAAATAAAAGTTGCAGTAAAGTTATTTTCAATCATAAACTGATCATTATGACCATTAAAATAAGATTGAAGAAATATATCTTTGAAAGCGTTTTTGAGACAGATCGAAGACGACCTAAGCACTATTGAAGTGCATACTGGTACTTTTATTGCAGCGCTCCTACCGACAACATATACCCGTTTCAGGCCTCGGGTGACGAAAGATTAGGAGAAGGACTGGCGCGCAGTGGATTCACGTGTAAAGATCACGTGTGTATTCCTTGCCATTTCGGGACCTACCAAAGAAGAAGTAGTAATGGATCCTATGTCTGTACAAAGTGTCCTGCAGGTAACATTTTTTTTTGTGTGTCGTACACTGGTAAACTTGGAACGACAAACGAAGTTTGGACAGTACTTAAGAAAGCCGTTAAGTTGATCTAAACCAGATTCAAACCAATAGTACTAGTCACACTTGTCAGCTGACTTGTTACACCACGTCTTTTCAATGTAAATAATTTTCTTCAAATCATAGGAAACACCAAAAACTAAATTTACTGAGCAGAAAACAGCAAGGATATGATAAGATATAAAAAACGAACAAGGATGGTTAAGGCTAGAGATGATTAAAACAGAATACCAATACGAACTGGAAATTTGGGCTATGCTTTCTAAGATTCACAAACTGTGCTTCACCCCTTTTTAAAATAGATCCTCTCTTGTAGAAACGCAGCAGTGTTAAATGTTTACTTTCTGCTTCTTTTCAAACGCCTTAATTATTTAACTCTTTCGGTTCCAAGTTCTAAACAATCAATCCACCTTACTGACTGTAATGCATGATCATTTAACGTTAGTTCTGAACATTTGGCCGGAGATACATCATTTAAGACAATCTTCTCTAGTTACTCTAGTTATCTCGAAAGAAGAACTTTGGTTTAGTTCATCTCCGTTGCGAATTAAAACGGTTAATGAAGCCACAACACTCCATACAATGGATATATTTTGTGATGGA